AAGGAGAGCGACACAGACGACACCGAGCACAGAGCCCCGCGGCGGCAGCCCCCCGCCTGCCCACAGGCTCCCGAGGGGCAGCGCCCACGGTTATCCCTGTTCCACGCCGGAGGGAAGAGCCAGCCGTGTAGGGCTCGTCCCAGCAGAGTCGGGAGCTGGCCGAGCCCACGGTCGACTCCACAATATCCTCCGGACGCAGCACGAGGTCGGATTATCGGTGCCTCGGATACACACAACCCAACAGGCGTAGAGCTTCGGATTCAAGTGCACAACCCCTCACACGGCATGGTTCATATTCCGCCGACCGGCCAACGCCCAGGCCGGTTCAGAGCCTTGGACAGAGAGAGTCTGCCATCACGGCAGGAGGGGCAATCGTCCGTCAAAGGCTTTGTGTGAATCATCTAGAACTCAGGATTGCTTCTTTTGCCCGGCAACTCCTAATGCCCTACAAGTCTCGGCTTCTGGAGGGTTGTACTGACCCCTTGGCCTGCACCCCCGGGGGTGTCCGGGGGCCTGTCTTCCACAAGCCCCGCTGACTGCCTCAGTGCCCGTCCGTCTCTCCCCCTGCCACGCACAGGAGCTCCCGCAGAGTAGGCGCCGCACCTGTCCGCCCACTGCTGCTGGCCTCGCACCCGATACGGCCCCGCAGCTGCACCCACGGGACACCGGGCAGCAGAGAAAACGGACATCTACACGTCATCACGAATCAATCGCAAAAGTATCACATCAAGAGGAAGAAACAGGATTGCTTTGATAAAATAAAAATTTTGAAAACAGGATAGGAAATGACTAGTATAAACACGTCAACAAACGAAAAGTACGGTTGGAAGTCAGAAATTCAACGGATGGGTTTTATGGATAAGAAACATCTGAAAAGAGTCAGTCATGAGAAGACAGATCTGACGAGACTATCCTGAGTGCAGGATAAAGGGGCAGAAAGACCCACACTCACACACAATCACACACACACACACATGCACACGGTATGCCTCTCCTTCAGGATGAAACAATATATTGTTTATGGAATCGGACTTACCCACAAACAACGAAGACAGTAACCTACCCCAGATCTGGAATAGTGAAGGGGAGGAAATGGGACAGAATTTGGGGAAAGACACACTAAAGCTCTTTTTAAAAACAGGGCGCCTGGGTGGCTCAGTCGGCTAAGCGGCCAACTTCAGCTCAGGTCATGATCTCAGGGTTTGTGAGTTCAAGCCCCATATCAGCCTGCTTGGGATTCTCTCTCCCTCTCTCTCTGCCCCCCCCCCCACTTGTGCTCTCTCTCTCTGAGTAAATAAACTTAAAAAAAATTTTTAAATGGTTTGGTTGGGGGGCGCCTAGGTGGCTCAGTTGGTTAAGTATCTGACTTCAGCTCAGGTCACGATCTCACGGTTTGCGGGTTCGAGCCCCATGTCAGGCTCTGTGCTGACAGCTCGGAACCCGGAGCTTGCTCCAGATCCTGTGTCTCCCTCTTTCTCTGCCCCTCCCCTGCTCGCTCTCCCTCTCTTTCAAAAATAAATAAATAAACTTTTGAAAAAACGGCTTGGTGGGTACACTCGATGTGTTATATCGTAGTTCTTACACGTCCTACATATATTTAGTATGAATTCTTTTTGATCTAGTTAATATTTAATTCAAACAAGCAAAAAGAGTGGCCCCTAATTCAGACCTGGCTGGCCCCGCACGCTCCCTCACAGGGGCCACCCAGGGTCCTCGGCACCAGTCCTGAGCCACCTGCCCCAACCAGGCTCGTGGCGCGTGCTCCTGCCAGCTGGGCGGCGAGGAGGGCCAGGCCATGACTGGCGGAACGTGCCCTGAATTCAGCCCAATGTGCCATGCCCGACGGAGCACCCGTGTCACGGGGCAAGAAATGGACCCAGGAGCCTGCTGGCCAGAAGGCACCTCTGTCCTCAGGGACAGGAGTCTGACTCTTGCTCTCGGCCAGAACTTGAAGGTACAACCCTGGCCACGCCAAGCCCTGAAAGAGTGGGAGGATCCAGCCCAGCTGTGCCAACCGAAATGCCCAAAGTGCCCCCCCCCCCCCCCCCCCCCCCCCCCGCTGAAACGGTGCCTGAGCTCCTCCAGCCCCACAGGGCTCTGGTCTTCAAAGTTCTTACGATATGGCTGAGAAGAAGGACATCAAGAACAGATAATAACTATATAATAACAGTGTTCATCAGTCCCTTTACTCCTCACAATACTGATATATAAGCAGGTCTTACTTTTAAAATACAAGTTTTAAGGGACACGTGGGTGGCTCAGTC